CCACATGCATGTCTACCAATGATATGTGGGGCCTACCTTGAAAAATGTATGTGAGCCCCACATACATATCCACACATGGACCCCACATGCATGTCCACCTATGGTATGTGAAGCTCACCTTGTAAAATGTATATGGGCCCCACATACATGTCCACACATGGACCATACATGCATGTCCACCAATGGTATGTTGGGCCCACCTTGTAAAATGCATGTGGGCCCCACATATATGTCCACCAATGGTATGTGGGATCCACCTTAAAAATGTATACGGGTCCCATGTGTTAAATGAAAGGTTCGTTGGCCCACATACATGACATTCATATATATATATATAACACATTGATGGTGCATGATCCAGTCACTCCTAGCTGGAAGTGGTTGCGCTCCTACTTGGCGACGGACAAGAGATACCTATGAGGAAGAAGATGAAGGGACCCAGGGGGCTCACCTGGCGGGAACACTCCAATGGTTAAGTTAGTGACTGAATTGAAAGATGAGAAAGCAAGAAAGAGAGAGAGTTGTAGAGAAATTATAGAGCTAAGAGTGAAGATCACACCATACCTTCGCCCCTTGGGGTCGGGGTCCTTATATAATCGTATCCTAACAAGTCAGGTGCAACCGCTCAAGAATCTCTACTGCGGCAATCTACTATCAGATAACGGCTTGGAGTGGTTGGCCGTTATTTATCAGAGCAAAGCTGGCGTGCAAAGGTGATCGTTGCAAGGTACGGTCCCGCCAGACAAGAAACAACCTACAAGGTTGGCAAGCACAGCACTGCCAGGTGAGAGGCACGAGTGCTGTCCTTCGGCGTCAGCAGGTACAGTGCCTCCAAAGGAGAGACGTGGGCGTAGGCTGGCAAGTACGGTTGTCAAGTGGGAAGCTCCCTGTAATACGCCGAGCTGCTCTGCAGCAGGCTACTTTGTACCGAGTTGCTGATGATGTGCCGAGGTGCTTCTACCCAAGGCATGTCTCCAAGGTGGCCTACTTAGGCTCGGACAGGAGCGAGCTTACTCTAGCTAAGGGGATGACGAGCTTAACCCGAAGTGCCTTCAACTCGGGATGTCCCGGATTCGGCGGAGTCTTCAACTCGGGATTATGGAGTATTATCTTGTAGCGAGCTGCCATTCGTGGTGAACTGTCAGGCTGGATTATAGCGAGCTCATTATGCTGAGTTGTCACTCATGTCGAGTCATGCCCACGTGTCCCCTTATTATGAGGTTGGGGCAAATCACCCTCCATCAATTGCCCCCCACTCTCTGGGCCAGGGGTACTAACCCGGTGCGGGGAGTTCACAGCATGACGGGTGGATTTGGCCCGAGGTTCAGGCCGTCCAGTCAGATAGTTCATCGGTCGGACCAGTTCAGTTGGTCGGCTCAACCAAGTATAACCCAGGTCGCGTGAAGTTTACACGTGGACGTCACGCGATCTATAGACTCCGTGGACGCCAAAAAATGCGCTAAACTAATTTTGACCTCGAGGGTCGTGCAACCGGTTTTCTCAGGAGCTGTCAGATCTCCTTGATCTCGACCGTTGATCCCTTGACCCTATGGCTATAAATAGGGGGGACCCGAGTCATTTTCTCTGCCATAAGTTCCACTAGCATTCGCTTTGAGGTCGCGGTTAAACTCAGCTCGGGTTTTCCAGTTCATCCCAATTCGGTCGTTTTCCTTTGGTGAGTCTCCCTAGCTTCTTTTTCAATTCGCTTGAGCTCGTTAGTTATGCCAGACCATAGTTTTGATAGTCTTCTAGATGAGCCCAAGGAGGGTACCTCGGCTCAAGTGGGTGCCTTTGAGGTACAGTCATTCGAGGCCTCGGGTAACCTAGCGTCCACTTCTCACCGAGGTCGGGTGCCGGACAAGTTTGGTCCCTCAACCATGACAGTAGACAAACTTAGGGCCCTAATACACAAGTGCAACCTCCCGAGAGAGTATACCTATAACCTTCCTGCGGGCAACTTCCCTTGGGAGCACGGTCATGATGAGATCGTGATTTTCAAAGAACAGCTCGTGGCCGGACTCCGTCTTCCTCTACACTCCCTAATCATAGAAGTCTTGAAGCACTTCAATGTCACCATAGACCAACTTCACCCGAACTCCATCCGGAATGTGGTCGAGACAATCTCCCTCTACTTTGACTACGCCCTGCCCTTGGACCTCGACATTTTCTCCTCCATCTTGTCTATAAAGAAGAATGCTTCTAGTGTCCTCCCCGAGCATAGGCGGACCTATTACTTGTCTCCTCGCCCGGGCTACAAATTGTTACACAGCCTCCCAAGTAAAATCCCGACCTGGAAGCAAGATTACTTCGTAGTCCGCAATCCCGCGGGGTGGCCCTTTCCAACTCATTGGAGGGCGGCCGTTCAGGACCCCGGAGTTAGGCTGGACCCGAAAACAAGGGAGACGCTCCAATCTTGGGCGGAGCTCAGCCTCGACTACAAGGATTACATCACCGAGGACAAGCTCGTACAGGCCGGCCTGAGTCCTGGTAGGTCGCCTGGGTTTAGAGTTAGTATTTTTCCTTAGTAGATGGTATTTCTTGGTAGCATCACTAATTTCGTGCTTTGTCGCATGTCCCATGCAGCAGCTCAGCGCGGACAGGCTCTTCGGAAAAATGAAGGGGAGGAAGAAGCGGTTTGCTAAAAGAGCTCGCGTTGAATCTCCACAGCCCCCTACTCTCGAGCCTAAACAACCTCCAAGCGCTCCTCAAGTGATCGACCTAGTCGAGGAGTCAGAGAGGAGCCCTCATGCACCCGAGGTGCCCTCAAAGCCCGCTCCCCCTACAGTTGCAGTCCCTTCGGGCAATGAAGGGGCAGTTCGGAGTATCTTGACTCCAGAATACAGCCTCCAAAAAAGCAAGGGGGCAGTGTATACTGATGAAGTCGCGAACTGGGCTGAGCTATTGATTGCCCAACTCGGAGCTTGGGCCGCTACTCATTGCATGGTGGTAAGTCTTGTTCTGCCTTGATTTCTGGTTTTGTAGCCTCGTTGATACTAATGTTCTCTTGGTAGGTGATCTCCGTCGTGCATGCACTGACCCTCCAGTCCAAAATGTGCCTGAAGCGGGCCCTGGCTGCCGAGAGTTCATCCCGCGAGGCTCACACCGAGCTGAAGTTAGCTCACAATCAAATCACCAACTAGAGAGCGACGCGATAGCTCAGAAGGAGTATATCAAAGTGTTGATTTCAGAGAAGGAGGATCTGCTATGCCAGGTGGAGAGCCTCAAGGCTGACGTCAAGGAGCAGACCGAGATTCTCCTCAAGGCCATGGACGAGGCCAAAGTTAAGGCCGTTGAGGACTACAAGAGCTCGGAAGAGTTCGAGGGGCGCTGGTGGATTCCTACCACAAAGGCTTCAAGCTCAGTAGGTGGCTGATCAAGCACGAGTTCCCGCAGCTCGATGTAAGCGCCATCACCACTTCGCGAATCACTGAGGAGGTTGCCCTCCTAGCTGTTGAGGACCCGGACTCCGAGGAGGAGGGTGACGATGACCTTGGAGAGGCCAATGCCACCGACCAGGCTAGCACTTCCGCGGAGGGTTCGGGCAAGAGTGATGAGTCCCTTAAGTAGTCCGGGTGGTCTTCTATATTTTGAGCCTGCGAGCTCGACGTTTTTTGTTTCTTTTGCTACCCTTGTAACGAACCTTTACAGAATTAATGAAACTCTTTTTTGCAAAGTGTCGAGCAATTACCTCCTTTTTAATTGCAATTATGTAATTTCCTCCGAACTGTTGAGTCACCAAGCTAGGTGTCTGAGGTGGGGGTTTGTTAGCTATTACCCCGAACTGCCACCTCGTACTTAAAGTAATTTGCCAAAGTGAGCAACATTGTAGGGTATACGCCCGACCTGTCTGCACACAGGCTGCATGTCGCGACAACTGTTACAGGTATTCATACCTGAGCTGGATGGGCCTTAGCACTTCACCTATGCCAAAGAGACGACTAGGTCCTTGATGGTGCCGAGGTCCATGGTTAGCTCGGTATCTTAGCCCTTAGGCCGAGGGAGTGACTTATAGTCCACTCTCCTCGAGCTTGCCCATGCCAAAGAGGCGACTTGTGGTCCACTCAGCTTGGTTATCACAGGTAATATTGCCTTAGGTTGACAATATTCCATGCTTGGGGTATCTGCTTCCCTTCTAGGGTTTCGAGCTCATATGTTCCTTCCCCGAGTACCCGCTTTACTTGGTAGGTTCCTTACCAATTTGGCCCGAGCTTACTAACACCGGGCTCAGGTGCCATTACTTTACGAAGAACCAGGTCTCCAACGCGGAGGTTCCGCTTCTTGACCCTGTCGTTATAGTACCGAGCTACCCTCTGCTGGTAGGTCACGGTCTTAATGTATGCGAGGTCCCGTACCTCATCAAGTAGGTCAAGGTTGGTACGTACCTAATCCTTGTTTGCTTCATCATCGTATGCTTCTAGGCGTAGCGTGGGGACCTCGATCTCGGCTGGGATCACTGCCTCCATGCCATAAGTGAGATTGAAGGGAGTCTCTCCTGTTGCGGTCTTTACTGTGGTCCGATAAGCCCATAGTACACTGGGTAGCTCATCTACCTACAGTCCCTTAGCTCGGGCTAGGCGTGCCTTCAGTCCACAGAGAATGGCTCTGTTTGTGACATCCGCTTGACCATTTGCTTGAGGGTGTGCCACTGAGGTGAAATTTTGTTGTATCCCCATTTCTTTACACCAGTTCCAGAATTTAATGTCCTCGAATTGTTTGCCGTTATTAGAGATGAGCACTTGGGGTAGTCCGAAACGGAAAACTATATTCTTCCAGAAGAAATTCCACACACTCTGCGCTGTGATCGTTGCAAGAGGTTCGGCCTCTACTCACTTTGTGAAATAATCAATTGCTACCACTAAGAACCTCCTTTGACCTGCCGCTCGTGGAAATGGTCCGAGTATATCCGATCCCCCACTGTGCGAAAGGCCACAGGCTGGTGAAGTACTTGAGGTAGGCAGCAGGCCGGTGGTGGATATTGGCGTGCTTTTGACACTTGTCACATCTTCTGACGAACTCAATTGCATCTGCCTTCATCATCGGCCAATAGTATCCCTATCGTAGCACCTTCTGGGCGAGGGCCCTGCCCCCCAAGTGTCCGCCGCACAAACCCTCATGAGTGTCGTAGAGTATGAGCTTAGCTTCAGAAGGTCGTAAGCAACGCAAATAAGGGAGCGTGTAAGATCTTCGGTAAGCCGTCCGTCTATTTTGACGTATTTAGCTGCCTGATGCTCTACCCTTCTGGCAGCATTACAATCTGTAGGGAGGGTCCCGTGTAGTAGGTAGGTTGTGAGCGGATCAATCCAGCTCGGCTCTGCTTGTGCAATAGGAGCGACCTCCTATGCCCCCTCCGAGAATGCTAGGCCGAGGCAGGTTCTCTATGTACACGGTTCTCATGGTATTGTCGCTCATGCTGGCTAGTCGAGATAGGGCATCGGCCTCAGTGTTCTTGGACCTTGGGATCTGCCTGATGAAGTGCGACTAAAAATGGTGTAGGGCCTCTCTGACTTTGGCTAAGTAGGCGGCCATGGTTGGCTCGCGAGCTTCATATTCGCCGGTGACCTGGTTTTCCACGAGCTAGGTGTCGCTACAGATAATGATGTTCTTGGCTTTTACTTCATTCGCTAGGGCCAACCCAGCTATCAATGCCTCGTACTCTGCTTCATTGTTAGACGCAGCGAACTCGAAGTGTAGCACATACTCCAACTTCACACCGCTTGGCCCGCACAGAACGATTCCAACCCCACTGCCCTGCTGATTTGACGAGCCATCCACATGGAGGATCTAGGGCTCTTCATCCCGGGTCGGGTTCGATCTAACCAAGAAAGAGGCCACGCTGCTTGAAGTTTCCTCACTATGCTTGGGCTCGTCCGACTTGGGGACTTCGGCGCTGAAAGTTCATTCTGCAACAAAGTCTGCTAAGGGTTGGACCTTGATAGCAGTTCGCGGCTTGTACTGGATGTCGTACTCGCTGAGTTCGATGGCCCACTTCGTTAATCTACTGGAGACCTCGGGCTTCAGCAAGACTTGTCTCAAAGGCTTATCAGTAAGGACGATGATCGTATGAACTTGGAAGTACAGTCGAAGTTTCCGAGCTGCAATAATTAGCGCATATGCCAACTTTTCGATCTCTGGATACCTCGTCTTTGCTTCCTGCAACACTTTGCTAACATAGTAGATGGGTCATTGGACCCGATCTACTTCTTTTATCAGTATTGAACTGACCACCTCGTCACTCGCAGAGAGGTACAACTCCAAAACATCTCCCTCCTCGGGTTTGGTCAAAACCGGGATGCTAGCAAGGTACCTTTTGAGCTCGTCAAAAGCAAGCTGGCACTCTTTTGTCCACTCGAAGCTCTTGCTTCTTTTAATTGCCTTGAAGAAAGGCAGGCAACAATCTGCCGATTTAGACATGAAGCGGCTTAGAGCGGCTATGCGGCCGTTCAACCTCTGAACCTCCTTCAATTTCCGGGGTGGTCCCATGTCTAAGATGACCTTTATTTTTTTGGGGTTGGCCTCAATGCCACATCGGTTAATGATGTAACCCAGGAATTTACCTGAGGTGACACCGGAGACGTACTTGTTGGGGTTAAATTTCATATTAAACTTGTGCAAAATTTCAAAAACAAAACGCAAATCTTCTATTAAATTACTTGAAAATTGGGTTTTGACGACCATGTCGTCTACATAACATTCTACTTTTTTTCCGATCAACGACTCAAACAATCTGTTTACAAGTCTTTGGAATGTCGCCCTTGGCGTTTTTCAGCCCGAAGGGCATGACCTTATAGCAGTACAAGACTAGTTCGGTTATGAAGGCCGTTTTTTCCTCATCGGCAGGGTCCATTCAGATCTGATTGTAGCCCGAGTAAGCATCCAAGAAGCTCAGCAACTCATGCCCTGAGGTCACGTCCACCAAACGGTCGATCTTGGGAAGTGGGAAGTAGTCCTTTGGGCAAGTTCGATTCAGGTCGGTATAATCGACCCACATGCGCCATTTACGTTGACCTTTTTTACTAGAACAGGGTTGGCTACTTAGCTCGGGTAATGGACGTCCCTGATAAAACTGGCTACAAGGAGCTTCCCAACCTCCTCATTAACTGCTCTCCAACACTCCGGGGCTAGGTTGCATTTCTTTTATCTAACGATCCTAACAACTGAGATCGTAGAGGCTCCTCAATTGAAACGCCGATCTGGAGAGTCCAAGCTAGATCCTCTGTCGAAGCAGGTATGGAGACCTTCTCTTCTATGGGCGTAGCTCGCTCTTCTTGATGCTCTCCAGGTCGCTCCAACTCAAGGTCATCTACCGCCTAGGCTTTCCCTTTGATGGTGGCAACGTAGCATTTGCGAGACTCGAGTTGATCGCCTCGCGCCACCCCAACTCCAAAGTCCGTGGGGAACTTCATGGGCAGATAATAAGTGGAAACCACCACGCATAGAGCATGGGTGATGGGCCGACCTATTATGGCGTTGTACGGGGAGGGAGTCACGACTACCACGAAGCTGTGGTCGAGTCTCACTATGCAAGGCCAGGTGCCGACCTCCACAAGTACGGTGACTCTCCCCAGGGGCCTGACTTCCTCTCTATTGAAGCCTACCAAGGGAGTGTTCACAGGCTTGAGATCACTTTCCCAAAGCTGAAGCTTGTCAAACGCGGCCTTGAAAAGTATATCCACCGAACTGTCGGAGTCGACGAGGACCCGCTTCACCTCAAAATCGTTGATTCTTATCTTTACAATGAGCGCGTCGTCGTGGAAGTACTAGACTCCATGCGCATCATCTTCGATGTAGAAAATCGGTTCCTCCAACCTCGGCCGCTTCGGGGGATTTTGCTCTTCTCTTTCGATCTCGTGAACCAAGGTCCTTGTTGCGGCTAAGGTGCAGCCCGCGACGATCGATCCGCTGGTGATCATTTGGATTGTTCCCCGAACTGGCCTCTCTTCGGGTGGTTGTCTCGGCGGCTGTTCATTTTGCCTGTTGCTAGACTCGGGAGCATCCCTACCTTGCTCCCCTTGTTGTCCTGTTTTATTATCATTTTGTACAAAATTTCTTAAATATCCGCGACGGATGAGTTCTTCTATCTCATCGCAGAGATTTTTAAATTTTCAGTGTTGTGACTGTGATCTCTATGAAAATGGCAATACACATTTTTATTTCTAGTATTCGGGTCTCCTCTCATCCGAGGTGGCCACTTCACATAAGATGCGTCCTTGATCGCCATGTGAATATCTGCTTGCTTCACGTTCAAGGGCGTGTAGTTCGTCCTTTCAGTTGGGGGAGCTCGGAAAGATTGGTCTGGCTTTCCTCCCCGAGTTGGATCTTTCTTCCTCTTATCCCTGTTAGTTGAGGGCTCATGTTCTCTTTTCCTCTTCCCGG